GTAGGTAAATTAGAATGTATAAACCCTCTGAATTCCTTTAAAATTGCTTTATTTATGCCTGCTAGAAATCCTTGCATCATGTGGAATAGTATCTGTGTCCTGTAGCATATTTCCATTACTAAACTACTGTGTGTATTTGAGGGAAGTTAATCTATAAATTATTTCTATTATATGAAAATATATATCTGCAGGCATACAGCTATACAAATGTATAATTTAATAGCTATAAAATTAATATTATTTGTAAAACTTTTTACGTATTGTAAACAAACTTAGATAATTATCTTCTTATTTCCCTCTTTTCATAGTACAAAAGAAATTAGGGAGCTGAATACTGTTATGGATAGTTGGGACGAAACCCTGACTTCCTTGGAAACAAAATGTCATCCTTACATCCCAGGGTGGATATGTAGAGATGTTTATTTCCTCATAAGAAAAGAGGCACCTCCTGACACCAGACTTCTCTGTCTCAGCCTGTATCCACAGGCAGACTGCAGTTTCTGCTGTCAGCTGTGAGTTAAACACTAAGGGACAAGGAAAGCTCACAGCTTGCAGGGGTTCAGCAAACATGCCAAAACTTTTCAGATCCTGCCGACTCATATCTCCAGCCATCTCACAATTTCTCATGATTTTAACACTAATCTGCACAAGTCTGTTTGTTTATATAACAACTAATGATTCAGCTTTATTGTCAGGATGATAGAAAGAACAGTTTCCAGTTAAAGGAAGAAACTTTGTCATCTGGCTTGTCCAGAGTGCACTTCCATATGAAGGCTAGGTTTCTAGACCAGAAGTTGAAAATCTAGATCATTGACGTCACCTAATGTGAGCAAACGCAGTTTAGGAGACAAAGCCTACATATGCAACTACACCATATGTCTCTCCCCCAGCTGAGGGTGTGTCCAAGGCACGTGGTGCTTGCTGTCCTGAGGGAGAGAGGGGTATTTCGTGCACACACAGACATTGCTCAGGCTCAGGCAAGATGAGAAAGTTCCTCAAGCCCTCATCGTGGCCCTAGCCCAGGAGAGGCAGGTTTGCATCCCTGGCCAGCCAATGCAGGGGTCTCTCCGCTATGTCTCAGCCCTTGACAATAGACATTTCCAGCACAGGTCTCTGCCCTCACAAAGCTCTTCTGCTTTAGATGAAAATGCATAAATATTCATGGTTACGAGCAAGTTTCAGTGACTGCATGCAGCATCAGTGGTGGTATCTGTGATTCTAGTGGGGCTGCCAGAGGTATGGGCAAGTACTGGCAACCAGGAAGGGGCTTTACTAAGGTAAGTCTAGCAGCAGTTGACAGGAGTCTGCTATCCCTCCCTTGTTGCCCAGTAGTCATGGTACCTCAGGGAAGACCTAGGATTCAGGCTATGCTTTAACAGGTGTTTCAATTTATTGAATAATTTAGCCTTAGCTCACACATAGGCAGTTGCACAAATGCTTTATGCATCTGTCTGCGCAGCCTGCCATTTCTTCTGGCTCCCCTTTTTGGAAGCCTATTTGATATTGTAACATCCTACATATTTGTAATATCTTACATTGCCTTCCTGACCTGACTCTCGGCCAGGTTTGTATAGGCAACTGGGTGCCAGTTTAGGGAAGACACACGCTACAGACATAACACAGAGCAGCTGGACTGCTTGTCCATCTTGCAAAATGTAACATAGATTTTTCTGAGTTAGCTTGGGGCCTGACAGAAGTATAGTCATGCTGTGGATACCAGCTGTTGCATGAACAAAAGCAGGATAAAGAATTTGAAGAAATCACTGTATTAATGCATATATATGCCTTCTAGTGCCAAAGTTAACAACTGAGATGTAGATTAGATTAAATTTCTCTTTGCTATATTGCTGAGCATAATCTGCCTTGAGGATGAAGAAACCTCTGCACCTTGTGTCATAGGGATAAGGAAGTTAAGGGTTGAAATTAAATGCAGCACTTTACAACCACATCTCTTGCTGAAGTCAGAATCTGACTTCCAAAATATTATCAATGGCTATCTTGAAAACCCTTCAGCTGGTTCAGATCAAGCGCTGTCAAGAAATGTCTAGTGACCTGTGACTTTTTCCTTGTGGTATTGCCATTTGTACACAAAATGGGTATCAATTCTTCAATCTGGAATGAGGGATGTGAATGCAACAGTAAAGCACTGGTGTATGAGACACAGTGCTACAGAGCTGTGACCCAGACGCTGAGGGGACCACTGCTCCACACGAAACCAGAGTGTCTGCAAGGTGGGTAGCACTTTAGTCCCTTGTGTATGTGACAAATCCCTTCTGCTGCCTACTGTGAACAGCTGTGAGGACAAGAATCCCCTGAGGTGAGAACTATGTAATCACAACACTATTATTTCACTTAACACCATTCTCCATTCACAGCTTTCAAAACCAGAGAGTTTTGAGGAGGGAAACTGCGAAACTGAAGAAGCATCAAAACTTGCTCTTTTCAATGGCATTGTGTTTGTGGCACCACCAAAGATCTCATCCTGACATCAACACCTCTCTTCCCCATGAGCATGGGACCATTTTTCCTATGTCCAGCACGGGCCAAAGAGAGGGGGAGGTAAGAGAAATAAATTGTCACTGTCACTGTGTGCCCATGACAGATTGACTAGCTATGAAGGACTGAAGTTGAAACCTTAAAGCATGGATTGGTATATTTTATTTTTGATGGTGCTTCTGGTACACTAGGTCAAATTATTTGTTTTTTACCTCTGGGAAGTAGGGCTAAGTTTCATTTTGGGAGCCAGACAGTAACTGCAGTAGGGAACAGCAGGCTGGGGCTATGCCATGCTGGCTCTCAGTGCCCCCAGAGCCAGGTACTGCCAAGCAAGTGCTTCCTCCACAAGGCAGTATGAAAGTGTGAAACTCATAGAACAGCAGTTAGGAGGCAGCCACATTGTCAGACCTCCTTAAGTCCACTTACATCATGAGAATGGCCTTCTTAAAATATAAATATGACTAAATGATTCTTGAAGAAGTATGTATACTGAGATATGAAAGAGAAAAATGGCAGCAGGGCACTTAGAGAAGTATAACTCCTGTAAAATTTTCTTTAATAATTTATTTCTCTACTTAATTCATAGATGACTACACCTAGTTACTGTAAGGTACATTTCAGAAATATCAAGACAGACTTATAAAGAGGAGTAAGATATTTTTTATAAAGAAGAAGCCCAGTGGTCTGACAGGCAGTGTCTAAACGCCCCATCAGTGTACCTTCTGGTTGCAGACAAGGGTTTATCTTTTGCCATGGTCCAGGCATTACATTTCTGCAGAAGCCATTCCTGTTCCTCTCTGGCCTACTTGACCAATATTCCTCCCCTGGACCCTGTCCCAGGACCTTGGTCTAATTCAGAGCTGGAAGGGGGTGAGTATAGGCTGTGTATGACACCCACAGATGCATTACTGCTCCCACTGCCCTGTAGTCTGCAAGCCCGTCAGTGCTGACTGCACTGCTTACTGCCTGCCCTGGAAACTCCAGAGACTGAAGGGGGAAGGTCAGTAAGGTTATCATCTCCACGGCCCCTCCAGCACAGAACCGTTCCCTACAGTACCTAATTTATGCGTGCTATGATTTACACAGCCCACCAAATTCCCGTCGGTTTCTTCTGATCTTTCTTCTCCTGAGTCTTGCAGACAAAACAACCAGCAGCCTGTGTACCATCTTGCCAGCACTGGGTACAAAGGGCCATCGAGTCTCTGATACATTGCTTTCGTACATAAAATTACAAATTGAACTGCTTTCTCTCTCTCTCTCTCTCTCCCTTTTGCCTCCCTCCCCCTTTGTTTTGAAGTGGGGAAACTACTAGATTGCATTTCAAATTTATGTCACAAATCAATGCTTACGAGACTTCTCTGATGTTGTTTCTGCATTTGACTCCTTTCTGAGGCTTCCAGACTTGGTTGTGACAGGATTTACACTCCCTTGCTCAGGTGCAGCTCTTTTAGGATTTTCTCCCTTTCTATTACCACAGGAACACAATAAACGCCACGTCTTAAGCCTGTAGCAAGCCATGTGCAATCTCAAAAAAAGCAAATTTTGCACCAAACAGCAATATTGTCCAGAGCCAGAGCATCCTCTGTGCTGCAAAAATTGGACTTTTAATCCACAATTTTTAAATTCATGAAGCATATATGCACAGAATCACAGAATCATAAAATAATTAAGGATAGAAAGAATCTCTGGAGATCACCCAGTCCAAATACCCTGCCACGGCAGGGTCACCTGGAGCAGGTGACACAGGAAGGCATCCAGGTGGGTTTTGAATGTCTCCAGAGTGGGAGAGTACACAACCTCCCTGGGCAGCCTGTTCCAGTGCTCTGCTACCCTCAGTGTAAAGTTCTTCCTCAGGCAGAGGTGGAATTTTTTGTGTTGTAGATTATGGCTATTAGTCCTCCACTACCGCTGAGACCACTGAAAAGACTTTGGCATCATCCTCCTGGCACCCGCCTTTGAGGTATTGTATGCATTGATAAAATCCTCTCAGTCGTCTCTTCTCTGGACTACACAAGCCCAGCCCCCGCAGTCCCTCCTCGTAAGGGAGATGCTCCTGATCCCAAACCAACCTTGTGGTCTCCGCTGACCCTCTCCCGCAGCTCCTTGTCTCCCTTGTGCTGCGGAGCACAGGACGGGACCCAGCAGTGCCGGTATACAGCACAGATGTATACCGCCCACGGCGTGTCTGAGAAGGGCATTCCCAAAGTACCTCTGTGGGATTCTGTGGGGTTCTGTGGCACCTTTGGGCGCGCTTCGTCACACGATCCCCCGCGCTGCTGCTCCCCGGCGCCCCCTTGCGGCCCGCACGGCGCCCGCACGGCGTCCTCCAGCGGCGGCGTAGTCCCGCCCCGGGGCGCGCGGGGCGTGGCTCTGATTGGCCGCGGCGGGGCCGCCCCGCCCCCTGCGCAGGGCCGGCCCTGGCGGCGGGGCCCGGCTGTCATGGAGGCGCCGGACGGAGCGCTGGCAGCGGCGGCGGTCGCGTCCCTCTGAGACCGGCGGTGGCGGCGGGAGACGGCCCGGAGGGGCCCGGGAAGGTAACGCGCGGTCTGGCGGACCTTTCCGGCCGGCTCCGAGCACGGCGATTGCGGGAGTTGAGTGCCGTGAGGGAAAGAGGGAGGGGGATGGGGCCGCAGGGCTTTGGGCGCAGCGGGTCCGGTCGTGGGACGAGCGGATGGCTCGGGGCTCTCCGCCGGCGCTTGGCCGGAGTGCGGCCGTCGCCTTCCCCGCTCAGCTGCCCTGGAGGTGCGTGGCTGCGGGTTTTCTGGCGGGAGCCGGAGGCTCTGTACTTGGGATACGCCTCGAAACGAGTCGGGGGTGCAGCTCGCGGAGGAATGAGGGAGAAGAGGATCATTCTGTGTCTGGTATGGATAACGCGGTTGTAGGATCAGCCCCCTCCTCCCCGTGGCTTTCCTCAGGGGCCACCGCGCGGCCCGGGAGAGTCCCGAGGAATGCAGATGGACACCGGCGCGCCACAACAGCGACTTGTTTGGGTGTAGCTGTGGGAAAATACAACGCGGTTTCTTGTTTGCGAAGTAGGAGGTGAAAACATCGAGAATTCTCCTTTTGCAGATTTGTGATAAGCATAGCCTACTCTTCGTCGGGACCCTGTTCGGAGTCTCCATGTTGTCCTGTCTGGATGAAACTGATCTGAGAAGAAGCTGGGGACATTGTGTTTGGGCTAAGCACTTCCAATAAACTCTTGGCTGAAAAAATTAGGTGTGTATCCATCAGGAAGCAGAGAGGTACAGACTAAATGGATCTAAAGACAGCAGTCTTCAACGCAGCTCGTGATGGCAAGCTGCGGCTCCTTTCCAAGCTACTGGCGAGCAAAACAAGGGAAGAGGTGGCCCAACTGATGTCAGAAAAAACCAATGGTGCCACACCACTTCTGATGGCAGCCCGCTACGGTCACCTCGACATGGTGGAATACTTGTTGGACCATTGCTCTGCCTCGATAGAGGTTGGTGGGTCGGTGAATTTTGATGGTGAGACCATCGAGGGGGCTCCGCCGCTGTGGGCAGCATCAGCCGCCGGCCACTTGAAGGTTGTTCAGTGTCTGTTGGATCATGGTGCGTCTGTCAACAACACAACGCTGACAAATTCAACGCCGCTTAGAGCTGCCTGTTTTGATGGTCACCTAGAAATAGTCAAATACCTTGTGGAGCACAAAGCAGACCTGGAAGTATCAAACCGTCACGGGCATACGTGCTTGATGATCTCATGTTACAAAGGCCACAAAGAAATTGCTCAGTATTTACTTGAAAAAGGAGCTGATGTGAACAGAAAAAGTGTTAAAGGTAAGTTAGTTTTTTCACTTTGGTTGTGGTAAATAGATAAAGTTGCTCATTTACTTCTTTAGGAGTCTGACATTAAAAAAAAATTGTTTGTTCTCATAAAGTGTAAGAGAGAAAGTGTTTATAGGTATGTTTTTTTCTTACTAATTTATTCTTTTTTAATGTGGATTATAACATTTTGTTTTAAATCGATACATTTTAATCTTAAATCCCTAATTCTTAAAAGACTTAATTATATCAAATGTCACATATATGCATGTGTGAAAAGCTAGTAAAGTTGCTGAGAACCACTCAGTGTAGTAGGTATGTCTCAAATACATGAGCATGTGTTCTTGGTTTTTGTATTATTTCTTAGCAAATCAAGTATGCTGCACATAAAACTGATCTGTGCTAGTAAGGCTGGTCTAAGGAAATACACATAAAGGAGGAAAAATCCTTTCTGCACTGGAAAATAATAACCATTTTGCTCTTCACCCACTCCCTCCAAATTACTGAGTAATTTTGTACCTTCTTCAGTGTTAGTAAACAAAAATACATATCAGAATGAAAGAAATGAAGATGCATGTGACTGTGATCTCAACAGAAGGACTTCCAGTGGCTCCCAAATCTCAAACCCGTTTTCTCCTGTTTACAATTGCTCTGGTGTTACCATGCAAAGTGGAGATTTCTGGCTTTTTTTCCTGTGATCATAATTAGTTGGAACATCTAAATTTTTTGTTACGTATCAGACTTGTATTTAGTTGTGATAGCCTGAAAATCACACCAGTTACTGCAAGTTACAATTAATTTTTTTATCTCATTGAGCTAGGATTATGTTTCAGCAGGTTTTGGGTATTTTAATATATATCAATATATATAAAGACTAATCTGCTGGAAGTTCTTTTTGTAGCATAATATTTCTGCCTTTTTCTGGCTAATTTTATATTTAACTGTATACTGTATCTTCTAGTTATTTGTGTTAAAATATCCTTTGTGTCTAGATTGTTGTATGATACTGGTAAATACCAAATGTGAGAGTAATCTTTAGAAAAGTTGCTCGGGTAAATATGCCTTTTTTCAGCAAATCATGCAAAAATATGGGTTTAGTGTAAAAAAAGCTAAACTACTGATTTGTCATGGAGGTGGGCAGAGCAAAATAAATCTTCCTTTGTAAGGGTTTGAGGTTGCTTATGAATCATCATGGACTTGTGGTAGGATAAAAATGTCATTTTTCTAAATAACATTCTGGGAATAGCAAGCTAAATATAACACGTGTAAGCAGCCGAAAACTTGGGTTTTAGTTTTAAACCTATGCCTTTATATGATAGGTGTGAACCAAGCAATGCTGTTAAATATTTGATTTAATAGGGAAAAAGATGTAATTCTGCAGCTCTTTTTCTCCCCCATTTTGTGTTGGTGGAGTAGGCTTTACCTTACTCATCCTTTTTATTCACTTTATTAGTGAATTAGCATTATTTGTCTTTGTTTAAATGACTGAGGGTTTTCTCAGTGCTGTCTATTGTCTTAATTTCTTTCTACTTCCTTTTAGTTTCTGTGTGACTTGCATCTAGGCACACGAGCAAAGGTTCTTAAGGTAGATAGGTGATCCTTAATTAACAGAGTTGGATTGGATATGGTTCAGCTCGTTAAAACTCATTTTATACTTCAAACTGTCATGTACACAAGTGGATGTGTGTATGTAATAGCTGTCTGTTGGTAGTGTATGGAAATCCCTCCGGTAGGACAAGAGCATACTTTTTGATGTCTTAAAGAAGTCTGATCTCTGAAGTTACTGAATAAGCTGTGGTGAGGTAAAGCAAGCAAGTCTGTAAACCCTGGAAATAAACCCTGAAAGTCATCAGTGGAAAGGCAGAAGAACTGAGGAAAATTGGTAGCCATAAGTATTGTAACAGTGGTTGAGATTCAGCAGGTAACCTCCTCAGTTTTGTTTTGCGAAAATGCTCTTGGTTTTACAATTAGTCCTACAGAATTAATTCTACATTGTCACCTTCCCCCTCAAAGAGTCTTATTTATTACTTTCAGTTTCTACTCCTCCTTGCTGTGTACTAAATAGCTGTGTCCTGTGCTCGTAGCAGGGAGATAACAGAGCACCTGGGTGTTCTGCTCCTGAGTAGTAGAAGTTGCTGCTGCCCTTGTATGTGAGTTCTTTTTAGACCAGCCCTTTCCTGGACCATATATAGAGAAGCCTATTGTTCCGTGACAGATGTTAAAAAAAAATGCTGCATTTTAAATTGCAATGCTCTTTATAAGACCAGAACTATGTAACTTCAGTAGAGTTGCTGTTGTGGGATATTACTATAGATCCTTTTTCTTAGAGCTTGTGTGAAGGTAGGGGGCAGAATTACTGGAGCTATGTCTTGTGGTTTTCCACTGCACTTTCATATTGCAAAATAGAACTCAATACACATTTTTAAACCTCATGAACATACAGATATGAAAATTTGTCCAAGTGTTGACAATTCCAGGGAAAAATCTGAATACTTTGGTAGGAAAAAATAGGTACATTCACTTGCATCTAAATTTATGAAAGAGTAGGTGAAAACATGTGGTGAAATCATGCTTCTAAAATGCAGAATCCCACATCTGTGTTTTGGACTGTGGAAATTCAGAATTCAGAGCTTCTTGAAGAAGTTACGAAAGTACAGAAGTACAGTCAGGAAATTAAGATGTTCATAAAGATTTCAGAGTGTGTGAAGCAAGATGTTACACTGAGGTGAGTGATGTGAAGTGTAGGCCTGGCAGTGTAGCGTGGTAGATGGTGCTGAAGAAGCATGTTTGGGTAGACGAGTCCTCAACTGTGAAAGATGCCCAATGGTTCTGAATTTAAAGTACAAGCCTTTAGTGGTATTTGTTTCTTTCTCACAGTTTCCCTGAGCTTTTATATTGGATTTAGGCTGCAGAAGGAAGGGAAGAATTTGTTAACACTGTTCATATAAACTAAAATATTTTCTAAAAATGATAGGTGGGGTTAGAAGGATGGATGAGTTTTATTATTTTGTGATTGTGGAAAACAGCAAAGATATCTGTAGATAGGAATCAACCTAAGCAATACTTCACAAAGTGAATTAATTTACCACTGTCTCTGATTCATGGCTTTCTCCAGTGTATTGCTGTCATGGTTTAATGCCAGCCGGCAGCCAAGCCCCAGGCAGCCACTTGCTC